CCCCCGCCGGCCGCGGCGCCGGGCGGTTCGTTCAGGCCAGGCGGGCCGCCGATCGGGCCCCCCGGCGGAGTCCGGGCTGCTGGCGGCGCTCACGGCAGGCGCGGCGGCGGCGTGGCTCCGGGCCCGGCTGGCGCTGCGCACGTTCCCTCGCAGCCGCCGCCGCCGCCCCCGCAGGGGCACCACCTTCAGCATGCGCAGCACGTGCCTCATTCGCACGCACACCACCAGGGGCCACCGCTCAAGCCGCAGCAGTGGCAGCAGCAGCTTCCTGATGACCTGGAGATAGACGCAGGGCTGCCAGCCCCCAGTGGCGGGCGCGGGAGCGGCGGCGGCGGCGGTCAGGGGCGGCGCTTTGGGGGCCGCGGCGGAGGGCGCGCCGGCAGGGGCGACTCGGAGGGCGGCGCGGCGGCGCCCGGGGAGGGGTTGGCAGGGCCGCCCGAGGCTTCGAGCGGGCGCGCAGGCGGCCGCAGCGGCGGCGGCGGCGGTGGTGGCGGCGGCCCTGGCGGCGGCGGTCAGGCCGCCAATGGCACGCAGCGTCAAAGGGGCTCCAGGGGCGGCGGTGGCAGCCGTGGCGGGTCCCGCGGACCGTCGGACGGCGGCGGCCCCAGCGGCCCGGCGGCCGCGGGACCGCTGCCGCCAGGCGGCGCGGACGGTCAAGCACGTGCTGCTCGCGGCGGCGGGCGTGGCGGGCAGGGCGCTGGCGGCCAGGGGCCCAGGCCTGCGCAGCAGCAGCAGCAGCAGCAGCAGATGGTGCAGCAGCCGTCGGCCCCGCCCAAGCCTGGTGGTGGTGCCCCAGGGGCTGTGGGGGCGGCGGCCGGCGCGGACGGCGCGGCTGGAAACACCGGCCGCAGCCGCGGCCGCAGCGGCCGCAGTGGCGGTGGTGGCGGCCCGGGCGGCGGTGGACGTGGTGGCGGCGGCCGCGCCCCGGCAGCCGCCCAGGGTCCTCCAAACGCTGTTCAGTGATGGCTTGTGAGATGTGAGGCTCAACAAAAGGAGGCACCGGCGTTCGCGTTCAGGCCGTGCTACTCGGCGCGCACCACTGAGCTGCCGGCGGGAGGCGCAGCATTCCTAGGGTGCCGTTCCGTCTTGCATGACGTTCCGGGGAGCGGATGACGTTTCAGGGAGCGGATCGCGCAATGCAAGCACGTGCTTTATTTGGCAGACTGGCAAGGCGGCGACCGGCGTTTGGCGCTTCCACCTGTTCCCTTGCCCTCTGTCGAGCGCCACCACCTGCTGCAGCGCAAGGCGTGTTTGCTTGCTCGCGATGATCAGCCTTCCCGCGAATGAGCGCACCCCGACCCCCCCCCAGCATGCGTGGGTCAGGGCTCTTCTGATGTACGGCCTGCGTGCAGCCCCTGCGCTGCTGGTAGGCACACCCCAGTCAACGCGTGGGTAGTCCCAAAGGCACCGTTGCCCCGTCACCAAGCGTCGCGGCTCGTGACGCGTGCCTCAGGCCGTGCGACGTGCGTGTGGCATGGCGGCTGTGTCCCCTGGCTGCAAGCCCTCTTGCCCTCAACCTTTGGGCCGAAGCGCGCAGGTCTCGTGCGGCGCAAGCTCCCGCCCACCAATAGTACGCGGTCGAGCATATGCAGCGATTGCACACACCCCGCCGACTGTCACACGCAGGCGCAGGCAGCTTGCAGCCGAGCAACCCCTAACACGAGGTGTGTGCGCAGGCCGTGACGGCCGGTGCCCCGAGGCTCCGCGCAAACGGCATGGCGAGGTGCCGCACCTTCGTCTCGCCTGCTGATAGCAAATGCAATACCACAACACTCTCTTGCAACGTGTGTTACCGTTGTAAGTGATTTTGGCAGCAACCTAGGCGCGTTCGGCATGAAGTATGCAGCAGGCCAAAAAATACAAAAAGCCGGAGAGGTAATGGCTGGAAAGGTCATGGCTGCGCAGAACACCTGAAGGGGCGCGAGAGCACTGCGTCATGCTGAGCTGTCAATTGCAGCCTCAGCCATACGAAAAGCGGTCGCGCGCTCTGCCGTACCCTGCGGCACCGCCATAGGCCCCGTGGCCCCTGGAACCATCTGTTGTGTTGGGACCTGGCTGCTGCTGTTGCTGCGGCCAGTACTGCTGCTGCCGCTGCTGCTGCTGCTGCTGCTGCTGCTGCTGTGGATACCCTTGCCCATACGCCTGCTGGGGTTGCTGTTGCCAGTGCTGCTGCTGCTGCGGCTGCTGCTGCCAGCTCTGCTGCCCCTGCTGCCAGTGCTGCACTTGCTGAGGTGGCTGCCGCTGCTGCTGCGCGTAGGGCTGCCGGTCCTGCTGCAGCTGCTGCCGACCCGTCCCCGGGAAGCCGCCAAACCAGTCGCCATTGCGCACCACCCCACCCCCCTGTCGCCAGGCCTGACCGCCGCCGCCGCCGCCGCCGCCGCCACCATAGCCCTGGCCCCCGCCGCCGCCGCGCTGGCCGAACTGCAGCTGCGCCTGTGCCTGCGCCTGCATCTGCTCAAGTGCGCGCTGCCGTGTGGAGGCCGCGCGCTCCGCTTTGAGATGCGGGGGCAGCGCCTGGGGGCACGCCGCCGCCGTGTGGCCCTGGTCGCCGCACTGCGCGGCGGGAGGGGGCGGACCCAGGGGGCAGGTGAGGATCAGGCTGGAGTGTGTGGGGCGGTGGCTCCACTGGTGGCAAAGAAGGTAGTGCCCGGCCTCCAGTCGGAGCGCGGCAGAGAGACGGCAGCCTTGCCAAGCCAGCGCAGCAGCACTCCCCGCATGTCCCGGCGCTTGACTTTGGGTTATGCTCGGCCCTCACGTTGTAACAGCTGGGCTGTGGCAGGTCGAGAGGGGTCGGCTTGCACGACAGGTGCCCGAGCCCGCCGCACACGAAGCAGCGCGTCCGCGCCACGTCATCGGGGTGGTAGTCGCCGGAGCAGAGGCCGTCAAATCTGGGCGGGGCCGCGAGGTGTGGACGCCGGTGAGGGCCAGACAGGAGGGGGGCGCAGCGGGACGCGTGCTCTTGAGCAAGGGGAAGGGGGGGAGAAAAGGCGGCGTGTGGCGGCAGGGGATTTGGCTGGCGGGCCCCACCTCACAAAGTCTGCGAGGCCCTGGCAGGCGCAGCCGTCCCGCCCGCAGCGCGCGCAGGCCAGCGACGCGCCGCTGCTGGCGGCGTTGGTGCAGTCGCGCAGCATGTGCCCGGTGCGGCCGCAGCGGTAGCAGATGCCTGCGCGGGGAGGCGGGTGGGAAGGTCGGCCGTGAGCGCATGGGCCGCCTGCCGATCGGGCGGGATGAGTGGGGTGGGGAGGGTGTGCAGCACACTGGAATTGTGGGATGCAACGTTTCTTCCTCAGGGGTGTCATCCGCACCAAGAGCCGCCGCATCACCCCGTTTTAAATTTCTTGCCAGCTCTCACGGTGAGGGCAGTCGTTCTTGTCATGGCCATACTGCGCACACATGACACACGGGCGCTCGACAACAGAGCTGCGGCCGTGGCCGCGGATCAGCAGGGAGGGGGCGGCGGCGTGAGACAGTGCCGGCGGCCGCAGCTGGCGCGGTGGGCGGAAGGCTGCAGCAGCCGGGGAGCTCAGCTGGGGCTCGCGGCCACGCAGCTGAGCGGCTGCGCCAGCGGCCGCTGCACACGCCAGGCGTTTGCTGTGCGCTTCCCTGCTGGTTCTCGCGTGCTGGGCGCCCCACCCTGATGTCCAGATTGCCCCAGCCCGCGGCGCCGGGCCCAGGCCCCCACCTGCAGTCCTTGGCGACGTGCCCCCTCTTGCCGCACCGCCAGCAAGCGACACCCTTCAGCGGCGCGCCCTCGTCAAAGTAGCGCGGCGCCCGCGACGCGCGCAGCAGCCGCCGCACCTCAAGCGGCGCGCCGCCGCCGCCGCCGCCGTCGTCATCAACCAAGCGCACGCCCGCGGGCGCCGCGGCGG